AGACCAGGAGGAAGCACCTGGCTCCTGCTTCAGATCAGCGCCGGCCGTAGTGCCATTTGGGGGTGAACCAACGAGGAAGACCTTTCTCTCTGTCTCTCTCTAACTCTGTGTCAAAAAAAAAAAAAAAAAAAAAAAAAGTGAGCCTTAACGAGAGGTTTTGATCGCAACTTTTAGGCTCCCTAGCACTTACTGGACTGATGCTTTTAGGGATGTGGTTTAATTTCTCTGAACCACCATTTTTAAACTGTAAAATGTGTGTTGTTATTCTTAGCAAGTATTTTGAAATTTGGCCACAATTGGGTACAGGTCTGAGTTCTGGATCCTGACAGACGGCAGTTAAATTGTGGTTCTCCGCTTACATCAGAGTGACCTTGGATGAGTGTGGAGCCTGTCTGAGGCCCTGTTCTCTTTCTGGAAGGGATGTGTGCTGGTATTGTTTCACACCGTTGTGATGAAGTGGCCGAGGTAGCGTCCTCCAGCGATTTAGCAGCATGATTCCACCAACAGTTATTATTATCGTTACTATTAGTTTTATTTAAAACTGTACTATAGACTAGCATTGTATTATTTCAGAAGTAAATACTTAAAGTATGTCCTCTTTAGTGAACTAGCTATTTAGAAGATTGTCTGTGGCACTTCCCTGTTTCTGATTACCGTCATCACCATCAGACTTTTTCCAAAAAGTTATATGTTGTTTAGAACGTCAGACATACTCACGGAGAAGTTTCTTTGTGACATGCCAATTCCTATATGTATTTCCAGGGTTTACAAACAAAAACCAAGTTTTCATGTTCATTTGCTCTGTTATATTAGTTTGATTCATAGTTGTCTTTTGTTTTTGAAATTTTTTTTATTTATTTGAAAGTTAGAGTTACAGAGAGAGAGGGACTCACTCACACACACACACACACACACACACAGACAGACAGGGAGAGAGATTGAGCTTCCATACACTGATTCACTCCCCAGATGGCTGCGTCAGTCGGGGCTGGGCCAGGCCAAAGCCAGGAGCCAGGAGCCAGGAGCTTCTTTTAGGTCTCCCTTGTAGGTTGCTGGAGCCCAAGTACTAGGGCCATCTTCTACTATTTTTTCAGGCTGTTAGCAGGGAGTTGGATCGGGACTCAAACTGCCACCCATATGGGATGCTGGCACTGCAGGCAGAGGCTTTAACCCTCTCACCACAGCGCTGGGCCCTACCCCAGAGTTCTTAGCTATTGATTCCTCTGGAGTAGAGAATGTTCTTAGCATCACTGAGGACGAGCACACCTTTTAGAAACGCGCTACCTGAGAAATGCAGAAGTTAATATTGTTGTTCTTTGATATTTCTAGAATTATTTACATCGTGTATCTTTGTGTTAAACCATGGAGGAAAATGCAGTGGCTTACAACATGTAGACTGATATGCATATATGCCTAGTAAAGAAATCATAGGAGAACAATTAACTTGTAAAAAAGGGAATCCCTATGGATACTGGATAAGAGGATGTTGTCGGTGCCGCCATGGCTCAATAGGCTAATCCTCTACCTGTGGCGCCAGCAAACTGGGTTGTAGTCCTGGTCGGGGCGCCGGATTCTTTCCTGGTTACTCCTCTTCCAGTCCAGCTCTCTGCTGTGGCCCGGGAGTGCAGTGGAGGATGGCCCAAGTGCTTGGGCCCTGCACCCGCATGGGAGACCAGGAGAAGGACCTGGTTCTTGGATTCGGATCAGCGCGATGCAACGGCCGCAGCGCGCCAGCCGTGGGGGCCATTGGAGGGTGAACCAACGGCAAAGGAAGACCTTTCTCTCTCTCTCTCTCTGTCTAACTCTGCCTGTCAAAAACAAAAACAAAAACAAAACACAAAAAACCCATCAAGAGGATGCTGTAGTCATACATGTTAAGAATGAACAAATTTGTTTTATGATGTAATTATTCAGTGTCCCTGAGCAAAGTTTTTTTTTTTTCTTTTGGTAGAATATTTTTATCAGGCTTATTGAGATAAAATTCACATATCATATAATTCACTCATTTAAAGTGTTATGATTAAATGATTTCTGAGATAAAATTCACATACCTTATAATTCACTCATTTAAAGTGTATGATGAAATGATTTTTAGTGTAATCACAGAATTGTGCAGCCATCACCACCATCTAATTTTAGGACATTTTGTCTGCCATACCTATTAATTGTCATTTCCTCTTCCTCATCCTTAAGCAATTGCTAATCTACTTTCCCTATCAATTTGCCTATTGCATACTTTGCATAGAGATAGAATCGAATATGTACATTTATTTCTTCTTTCACTTAGTTCTCAATAGTCACCTATATTGTAGCATACACCAATACTTTATTTGTTTTAACTGCTGAATAATGTTTCATTGTATGCATATACCATATTTTGGGTCTCCATTTGTGCTGGACTTTTGGATTGTTTCTAATTTTAGCAACTATGGATGATGTTTCTGTGAACACTTGTGTACGAATTTTTGAGCAATTTTTAAAGAATATAATAAACTTTTTTTTTTTTTTTTTTTTTTTTTGACAGGCAGAGTGGACAGTGAGAGAGAGAGACAGAGAGAAAGGTCTTCCTTTGCCGTTGGTTCACCCTCCAATGGCCGCCGCGGCCGGCGCGCTGCGGCCGGCGCACCGCGCTGATCCGATGGCAGGAGCCAGGAGCCAGGTGCTTTTCCTGGTCTCCCATGGGGTGCAGGGCCCAAGCACCTGGGCCATCCTCCACTGCACTCCCTGGCCACAGCAGAGGGCTGGCCTGGAAGAGGGGCAACCGGGACAGAATCCGGCGCCCCGACCGGGACTAGAACCCGGTGTGCCGGCGCCGCTAGGCGGAGGATTAGCCTAGTGAGCCGCGGCGCCGGCCCAATAAACTTTTTTTTAAGATTTATTTATTTACTTGAAAGAGTTACAAAGAGAGAAGGAGAGGCAGAGAAAGAGAGAGGTCTTCCATCCACTGGTTCACTCCCCAATTGGCCGCAACTGCTGGAGCTGTGCCGATCCGAAGCCAGGAGTCAGGAGCTTCCTCTGGGTCTCCCATGCGGGTGCAGGGGCACAAGCACTTGGGCCATCTTCTACTGCTTTCCCAGGTCACAGCAGAGAGCTAGATCAAAAGTGGAGCAGCCGGGACTCAGTCTGGCGCCCATATGGGATGCCTGCAGTTCAGCCAGCCCCTATTTTGCTTTCCTACTAGCAATGCATGAAGGTTGCAGTTCCTCTAGATCTTTGCTGACATCTGTGATCATCTGTGCTTGTGATTATAACCATTTTCGTGGGTGTGGAGTCATATCTTCACTTGATTTTAGTTTGTATGGCCTATGGCTAATTGGGCATCTTTGCATATGTTTATTGCCCATCTTTATGTCTTCCATAGAGAAAATTTCATCTCTTTTGCCCAGTTTCTACCTGGGTATAACATTTTAATCTCTTATTTTTGGTATATGTTGTGTTTTGTGATTACTTATATTTTCTTGGGTAATATTTCCTTATTGTTTGCTAGTAATTTTCAAAAAATGATGTTCAAAAATATTTATTTTTATTTATTTGCAAGGGGGAAGGAGAGAGCGAGCGAGCGAGCGAGCTAGCTATCTTCCATTCTCTGGTTCAGGACAGGCCTCCCTGAGGGCTGTTACTGGCACTCAGTCCTGTTCCCAAGAACTCGAGCCATCACTGCTGTCTCCCAGGGAAACTGGAATTGAAAGTGAAGCTGAGACTCAGACCTAGGCACTTCAAAATGGGATGCCAGCATCCCAAGTGGCATTTTCACCATTGTGCCAAACTCCAGTCTCACTAGAGAATTTTAAATACCTACTTTTGATAGTCTATGAATCTGGATAAAATACTATTTTCTGTTTAACACTTTCTGTATCCTTAGGTCACACTACAAAATCGAACGGTATTGCAAAAAGTCAAATTATCTATCTATGTGCAACCACCACTAGTACTGACTCGTGATCAGTTCACTTTTGAATTTAAAAGTAAGTGTGTGCATGTGTGTTTGTGTGTATCTATGTATTTGTATTTGTATGTGTGTGTGTCTCTGTGTGTTTCCGACTTGTCTACCATGATGTGAAAGGTTTCTTGTTTTGTTTTACTTTTTAAAAAAAAATAGTGTGCTTACTTTGTGTTTATACTTCTTGTGTCAATAGTGGGGTTGAGATCTTCAAATTAATTATTGTTTTGTTTTGCTTTATTTCTTCTCTAAATATCAAGCTTGCACATCCTAGCAATGATTGTTGAGCTGAATTAATATTTCAGGGTTACAGATTTCTAAGTACTTTCTATAACTGCTTAGACCTGAAATTGTACTCAATACCATATTTTGGAAGACTTTCTTTACTTATGTTTCTTTAGTGATCTATTTATTGAATCAGTAATGTTTGAAGAAAGAATATTGGCTTTGTAACTTGACCCAAGTTTGAATCCTGGCTCTGACACTCATTTGATGTGTGTATAAGCTTGGTGTAACTACTATGGTAATCATTTGAAGCCTCAGTTGTTTTAATATGCAAAAAGGGATTAATATCAATCTTAAGGGTTGTTGTGAGGATTTAATTAGAAAATGAATTAATATAAGCTATACAAAGTAATATCTAAAATATTAGACAAGTCATAAATGGCAACTTTTAGTAAGACGTTTTTGTATAGACTCTCTGACACTCAACCCATTACTTCCAGGTTGTGATTAGGCCTCTTAAGATGATGTTCGAGTTATCTTTCAAGACTTTCTCTTTTTTTATTTAGTAAAGCTCTTGAGGTAAGGCTCGTATATCAATTAATGAAATCAAGAGCTTTTTTTTTTTCTTTTTTTTTTTTTTGACAGGCAGAGTGGACAGTGAGAGAGAGAGACAGAGAGAAAGGTCTTCCTTTGCCCTTGGTTCACCCTCCAATGGCAGCCGCAGCCGGCGCGCTGCGGCCTGCACACCGTGCTGATCCGATGGTAGGAGCCAGGTACTTATCCTGGTCTCCCATGGGGTGCAGGGCCCAAGCACTTGGGCCATCCTCCACTGCACTCCCGGGCCACAGCAGAGAGCTGGCCTGGAAGAGGGGCAACCGGGACAGAATCCGGCGCCCCAACCAGGACTAGAACCCGGTGTGCTGGCGCTGCAAGGCAGAGGATTAGCCTAGTGAGCCATGGTGCCGGCGAAATCAAGAGCTTTTTTACCTCTGTATAATCAACCTTTTGTTGAGTGTCTGGGAGATAGTGAGAACTCAAATGAATATTCATTGAATAATGAATGTATGGACATACCCTTGTAGGTGATATTCAGCCTTTAGATTCTCAATTTTTTTCCGATTTTTTTATATTTCTAATTTATCATTCTAAAATACACCCGAAACATTTAAGTTTTTCAATTAAACATCTCTGTGGCCTTCTAACACAGATTGGAGGCCAAGTACATTAATGCAGAAGGAAATTCACAGCCTGCCTAGTCCTTGCATTTATCACAGTTATATCCGTTGCCACTCCTCTTCTCTAGTTGCCACTGCAGGCTGTTCCTTGTTGTGTTGTAATAGTTGAATACCCCTTTCTCTGTTCATGCAGCCTGTTTGTCTTGGTAAAGAGAAGCAGTGATGTAGAATGTTCTGGAGTCACGCCTTAGCCCTAAAACTAGTTGTGGCCATGGCAAAGCTTCTTACTCTCTGTACTCCAGTCATTAAAGATGGGGACAGTTATGTTACCTATCTTGTAGGGTTGCTGGGAAGATTACATATAAAGTAGTAAAGATAGTACCTGGTGTGTAGTGAGTGCTTAGTAAATTTTCAGTGCTGTTAATAACCATTTCCCCAAAGTGCATATTTTATAATACTTGTACTTTGCTTGTAGCCCCAGAGATAACTAGCACAGTGGCCTTTTCTGTTTATCTGAAAAGAAGTTATATGCCATCTACATTGGACGGAAATGCTGTTGTTTCTTACTCGAGACCAACAGGTAAATGTATAGTTGTTCACAAGCCTAGTCTAATCATTCCTTTAAGTTATTACTATTATAATAATTATGAGTTAAATACTGTTGTGTTTAAGATGGGAAAACATATTGTAAAGTATATTTAAACAAAAACATTTTCCTTTTTACTATTAAACTGAATTATGTGTCTAATTTTATATTTTGTAAGTAATTAATGAATATTTAGCTGATATACATATATAATGTGTGGTTCCTTCTTTTTGGTGTAATATGGTATATTTTTATTTCCACTTGAAGTATTTTATCTAGTCAGACTTCACTTATTTATTTTTTTAATATTTATTTATTTATTTGAAAGTCAGAGTTACAGAGAGAGAGAGAAAGGTCTTCTATCTGCTGGTTCACTCCAGATAGCCATAATGGCTGGAGCTGCGCTGATCTGAAGCCAGGAGCCAGGATCCTCTTCCAGGTCTCCCAGGCGGGTTCAGGGACCCAAAGACTTCCATTTTCTACTGCTTTCCCATCCCATAGCAGAGAGCTGGATCTTACGTGGCGTAGCTGGGACCTGAACCGGCACCCATATGGGATGCCGGCACTGCAGGCGGCGGCTTTGCCTGCTATGCCACGGCACCAGCCCCATCAGACTTCATTTATTTGAACTAAAGAAAATTCTAGCCTGAATTGATAAACAAAAGAATATTATCACAGTAATTGCAATATTACAGTGGGATTACTTTAACATTAAGTGGTATTCAGAGTTTTAGACCTATTTAAGTGACTAAATAAAATGCTTTAGTATCTTATTTGTTAAAATGCTTAAGAACATATCTGTTAAAATTTGGTCTGTATTTTTTCAAGAAGCTTTAAAAAAATGTTCTGGGACTGGTGCTGTGGTGTAGCAGGTCAAGCCGCCATCTGCAGTGCTGGCATCCCATATGGGCACTGGTTTAAGTCCTGGCTGCTCCACTTCCAATCCAGCTCTGTGCTATGGCCTGGAATAGCAGTAGAAGATGGCCCAAGTGCTTGGGCCCCTGCACCTGTGTGGAAAACCTAGAAGAGGCTCCTGGCTTCAGATCGGTGCAGCTCCTGCCGTTTCAGCCAACTGGGGAGTGAACCAGTGGATGGAAGACCTCTCTCTCTCTCTCTGCTTCTCTCTCTGTAACTCTGACTTTCAAATAAATAAATATTTTTTTAAAAAAAGATCTAAAAGGTTGTCTCATTCTAGGTGAGATTCCAATATGCTTTTTTCCCCTGTAGTGAATTCTTCATTTTGACAATTTGACAGTCAGTTGATTGCTAAGAAAGAAGATTTAGTGGTAATTTAATTTCTTTCCTTTAAAATTTTAAATATTAAGGATAGTAGAGTATTTCATCAATATCAAATTTGGGTTTTCAAAAATATTTCTGTACAGTTTTCTTGGTTTCAGAAGTTTAAAAAGTGCTTTATTCCTATTTTTTTCTACCATTTATGCCTAGTGGCTTAATTGGCAATTTTTTTTTATCCAAGTGAATTTTCTATCTTATTTATTGATGTCTGTATACTCTGATATATGACTTTTATGACTTCACTGTTTATTCCTTCTTGATTTTTAAGTTATTTTGCTTTAAAATGTATTTTTTAGTCAGAATTGACCACTTTAGTTGTCTATCACATTTTCAAAACTTGAAGTTATGTAAATATTTTTATGTTTAAATGGCTTTGAAAAAGCTGGTTTCATAAACAAATGAAAACTTCACAAAAGATTTTAGGAGTAATGGACTTTTTGGTTGTATATTTCTGAAAAGAACATTAGGATTTTCACTGTGATTTTGAGTTGGGAAATATAGTAGTGAGAAGTAATTGGTAAGATACCTCAGTCATTTAGCATTCATTATGTATCTCAATAACCTCAGGCCTTATAGTACCTTACTTGTTATTCTGTTGAGTATAAAGTTTTAAAGACTGCTGATGCCATAAGTAATTGTCTCATTGATTTTCAAGGAAAAATAGTGACAGTTTTTGGAAAGAGTCCCAAAAGTGGGTAACATAAAGTGGAGAAAATGCTTAAAAATAGACAAAAAGTTAAAGTTGTAAGAACAGTGTGTGAGCTTATTATTGCACATGCCATTTTGACAATTATGTTTTTCTTTAGAATTTAAAAATTATTGTTAAATCAGGGAGCATAGGTAATAATTGGTTGAAACTATATTAAAGGCTAACATTAAAAAGCTTATAAAATAAAGGCATACTAAGATCAAACCAAATAAAAAACAAACAAAAAGAAAAAATTTGGCTTAAAATATTATGAATTTTATGTTTCATGCAGGTTTTTTTCCTTTGGATGCTTTCAATGTCATTTACATATGAGTCATGTTGGCTGAATCATGTACCCTTACTTTGTTTTTCTTTTTGGTACATTAGTTTAAATGTTTCAGTTTAGAAATATAACTCTCTCAAGGAGTGAGAATGGGAGTACAAATATATTGTTAGATTTTGTTAATTCATGTTATACATTTCAATTTTGACTTACTTTACTTGTCTTTTATTAGAGGGCTATTTAAGCCACCTGTGGGAATTTTGAAAATTTTCAGCATATGTGTGTTAAATTTTGTTGTAAGTTTGCCATAGATAATTTGTTGCATTCTTTCTCCCCTACTCTTTTTTCATTGCCTCTGATGAATAGATCGAAATCCTGATGGTGAGTGAAAATATAATTTAGGAAAAAGAACAAGTTTTAGAACTGTGGTTGTTTAACTGTTATACCATGAATAAATTTTTTGCATTGACTGTTATTTTAACTTAAGAAACATCTTTAGTATAAAAGTGACTTGACCCTGATATGGAGAGCACAATAGATACTTGCCTAGATAATTGTCATTGTTAGTTATTTCAGTCATGAGAAAGAGTGAAGTTCGGAAAAAGAACAGAATTGAATTTTTTGAAATACATCACAGGTGTCACTGGCAGTTTATTTCTGTAAGTCATTTGATATTTACCTGCATGCCTTGCTATTTTAATTTGCTTAAAATACAGAAAGAATAATAGGTGCTCATTATAGAATTCTATATCGTCTGTTTTATTAAGTTGGTGTGCTCTACCATACCCATCCCTCTCTCTCTGATAAGAATGCTGTGTGCGCTGACTCTGTGCGACTATTTGTTGTCTTGTTTAGAAGCTGCAGGGGATCCTCATCTGAGATCTGACCCCCTTGAACTTGCTTGAGTCAGTGTTAATTGTTACATATTTTGTTTTCTGCAAATCCTTTGTTTATTACTTTGCTATGATACTTACTGTTTGAGTTTCATGACATTTGTTCCTTAGGCTTTCCTAGTACATTTTCAGCTCTTTGAGGGTAGGGATCAAGTACTTGTCTTTGAATCGTGTAATGTCAGCCACATAGGGGGCACTGAAAGTATCTCTTACTTTGATTGTTTTTCCTTGTAGATGTAGACTTCATATTGTGCTTTATCCTTATGAAGACAAATTTTAGAAAGCAATTGATTAATAATAGTTAAATAAACATCATTAAAAAGTTTAAAAATACAGTATTTACTCAAGACAGTTTTGTTGATGCCAACAACCTGAGTTGCCAAGCACGTATCACTATAATATCTGGAAGGTGGATATGTATTTATGACAAATGTTTAAAACAGAAGTAAATGTTTACTTTAATATCATAAAGTGCACCTGTCTAGCTGGAATTTGGGTAATTAAAAACTAACCTACTGAGGCAGACTTTTGGCATAGCAATTAGGATCCACAGGTTAAGATGCCTGCGTTCCGTATCAGGGTGCTTGGGCTCCTGACCACCTCTTGCTGCTGTTGCAGACCCTGGAAGGCAGTGGTGATGACACAAGTAACTGGGCTCCTGCCACCCACATTGGAGACCTGGATTGAATTCCTGGCTCCCAGCTTTATTGTGGGCATTTGGGGATTGAAGCAGTGGATAAGATGCTCTCTCTTTCTGTGGCTCCTGGCCTCTCATATTAAAAAAAATAAAAAATATCCTGTTATTAATGGTGAATACTCACATTTTCATTTACAAGATTACGTATTAACTAATAAAATTGTGGACTAAAGTTTCTAAAGCATTGTATTATTATTTAAATAAGTTTTAATTTTAAAAATGCTGAAGGGTACTGCTGAAATAAACGTATTCCCTCTTAATGTAAATTCAGCAGAAGCCATGAGGAAAGAAAAAAAATCACAGTTTATGGAAATTCTAGTTCAATAGAAAGGTAAAGCTGGTTTTATAACATTTTCTGATATATTTTAAAATCATAATTAAACTTTAGGGACTAGAGTTGATGTATTCAGCTGCACTAGTAGGCAAGAAAATAACATGTTACCACTGGGGTCTTGCATACAAGGCTTCCTATTTCAAAGACTGATCCCTTTTATTGTACTGATCTGTTCAGGCTGTGTTGCAGATAAGCAGTTCTGCTTTTACATGTGGAAAAAGAGAAGCAGCAGGAGGTTTTATGTTGTCCCATAAGAATTAGTCTCCATTATTTCTGCATTAAAGTTCCATGACATGGGCAGTGTAAAACATGACTGCACATGAAGCACAGTACGGGGCCAGACATAACAGGAAGGGATCAAGGAAGTCCTGGCTACCAGACCTTGCTACTGCTTTGGGCCTCCTTGTTTTCAATATGAAATGACTCTAGCAGGCCCCTGGAAAGAGTTCTAAAGGCATTACAGAGATGTGATACACACACACACGTAGTTATTTTACATACATATTCTGTCTCTCTCTCTCTCACTCTCTTTTAAAGCACATTTTAGTTTCTCATTTGACAGTGATACGGGCCTCTTAGGTGTGCCAGATGTAATTAGTCTCTCTCCCTGGAAAAATTGTTCTGTCAGGGCTGGTTTTGATGTGAGTGTTCTGGGTGTTTTTTTGTGATTAATTGCAGCATAGAAGTTGCAGCTATCTATTTCCTCCAGTAGGTTAGGGGAAGGGACGTGTTTGAAGAAGTTACTATATTTGGTAGAAAAATCATAGAACAAAGTCAATCTGATGAATGAGTAGGCCAATATTTGAGTAAAATAAATGACGAAAGTTATCTTTTTTCTAACCATAAGGCTCAGAGTCGAATAAGCCAGAAATAGAGACTATGTTGCCCACTACACAGAGATAATATTGCTGATGGTAGGCAAAGTTAGGACCAATTAGACTCTTTCAAGTTAGTTGAAAGCCATTCTGTGAACAGCCGTTGAAAGTCTTTGAATACGTGCAGTTCTCTCCTATTGTAGGCGCAATCATGCACACTCCCACACGTACCTCTGGGAGTGTTTGCCTTCAGGTCCTTTGATGCAGTTACAGTAGCAGGAGCAACTGGAAGCCAAGTTGACACTTCAAGTTTCTCAAGAGAATATAAATTTCAATAGAATCGGCCGGCGCCGCGGCTCACTAGGCTAATCCTCCGCCTGCGGTGCCGGCACACTGGGTTCTAGTCCCGGTCGCGGCGCCGGGTTCTGTCCCGGTTGCCCCTCTTCCAGGCCAGCTCTCTGCTGTGGCCCGGGAAGGCAGTGGAGGATGGCCCAAGTGCTTGGGCCCTGCACCCCATGGAAGACCAGGAGAAGCACCTGGTTCCTGGCTTCGGATCAGCGCGATGCGCCGGCCGCGGCGGCCATTGGAGGGTAAACCAACGGCAAAAAGGAAGACCTTTCTCTCTGTCTCTCTCTCTCACTGTCCACTCTGCCTGTCAAAAAAAATTTTTTTTTCAGTAGAATCTACTGAAATTTATACTCTCTGTTAAATCCCACATCTAAATACTAGAGATTGTAATTTGGAGTGCTTGCATTTTAATTTGAGGGGGAGAAGTACTATAAAATAGCGACATTCTCGTTTAACTCTTAAAGTTATGATTTTCTTAAAATGCTGTCTAAACCATCTCATACTCTTCCTCTAACAGGAAAACTTTTCAAGTTGCCATCATTTAAAGAATTGCCACAATCATTTTATTCAGTATGAGTGCCATCCTTTTTCAAAGTAACGTTTCCTGAATGTCCTATGAAACAGGTTTATAATTCCTGGAGAGAAAAGAAATCCTGGAGAGTATCTACAAATCTTCACAACCTCAGACCTTGCCCTCGTGGGTGATATTGCCATTAGCTGACTGTGAATTGAGTTGCAATGTATTTTCCTTGTGGATTTATTAGTGCCTGCAGTCCAATTGCTTTGATTTCTGAAAGCTTAAATACACCACCAGTTCCTTCACCGTTGGGCTCTTCAGGAAGCCAGTGTTGTTGACCACGTTTACTTTATTTTTCAATGTGAAGTCAGTGAAGCACCTGCTCCAAGTGAAGCAGAGGCCACAGCTTTCGTATTCTAGTTTTAGAACATTTACAGTCAATTTTTTGTTTGACCAATTAGCTCAGAATTTGGTTGAAAGTATTTAGAAGATATCTCCTTTTTTTGGGCAAAGGTAGAATTGTCAGATAAAGCAGGTTTTTTTTTGATACATTTTTAATTAAAAAATTGAAGATGGAGTGGGTGGTAGTGCAGCAGTTAGAGTCATCACTGGGCACTCACTGGGGTGCCGGATCCCAGTCCTGGCCACTTCACTTAGGTCCAGCTTCTTGCTAATTCACACCCTAAGGAGGCAGCAGGTGATGACTTAAGTACTTGGGCCCTTGCCATCCCCATGGGAGACCTGGAATGAGTTCTGGGCTCTGGGCTTCAGCCTGGCCCAGCTCTTTCTGCTGTAGGCATTTGGGAAGTGAACTAGCAGAACAGTAGCATGGAAGATTTTTTTTTTTTTTTTTGACAGGCAGAGTGGACAGTGAGAGAGAGAGACAGAGAGAAAGGTCTTCCTTTTTGCTGTTGGTTCACCCTCCAATGGCCGCCGTGGCCGGTGCGCTGCAGCCGGCGCACTGCGCAGATCCAATGGCAGGAGCCAGGTACTTCTCCTGGTCTCCCATGGGGTGCAGGGCCCAAGCGCTTGAGCCATCCTCCACTGCCTTCCCTGGCCACAGCAGAGAGCTGGCCTGGAAGAGGGGCAACCGGGACAGAATCCGGTGCCCCGACCTGGACTAGAACCCGGTGTGCCGGCGCCGCAACCAGAGGATTAGCCTAGTGAGCTGCGGCGCCGGTGCATGGAAGATTTAAAAAAAATTTTTTAAAGATTTATTTATTTATTTGAAAGTCATAGTTACACACAGAGAGAAGGAGAGGCAGAGAGAGAGAGGGAGAGAGAGGTCTTCCATCCGCTGGTTCATTCCCCAACTGGCCACAACAGCCAGAGCTGGTCCAATTTGAAGTCAGGAGCCAGGACCTTCCTCCAGGTCCTTTCACATGGATGCAGGGCCCAAGGACTTGGGCCATCTTCTACTGTTCTCCCAGGCCGTAGTAGAGAGCTGGATTGGAAGTGGAGCAGCCAGGTCTTGAACTGGCGTCCATATGGGATGCTGGCGCTTCAGGCCAGGGCATTAACCTGCTGCTCCACAGTGCCGGCCCCAAGCATGAAAGATTGATCTCTGCCTCTCAAATAAAATGAAAATAAATTAAAATTAAAAATTAAGAAAATGAAAAAGGCTTCAGTTTCCTTGTTCTTCCAGATAGTATCTATTAATTGAAGCTGTAACTTTTTTATTAATGCAGAAATATATTCACTAGGTATATTTGTATAATTTGGGAGTATATAGAATAACTATATAATAGATATAACTATATAATATATAGAATAACTATATAATATATAACTATATAATATATAGAAAATTTCCTTAAAGTTACAAAATGTACTGCTCTTCAATTCTATCTTTTTTGTGGTGATCCTGATCATTGTGGTTTTGGTAATATCTTAGATCGTGTTACCATAATATTTTGAGTTAAAACATTTCATCATTGTAAAGTACAAGTACACATGCCTCTAAAAATCTCACAGAATGTCTAGAAGTAATAAATGGGAAATAAAATGTCAGGGACTTTTTTGAAAAGACACTGGTAATAATTTGCATCCAGGATTTCAGAAGTGAGTTTAACATCTGTGGGTTATGAACAAAAATGAACTAGGTAAAATTTGATGGGTAATAGATTATGTTGAAGAGAATGACAAATATGCTTGCAATTTCCTGAAAAAGTATTTAATTGACCTCATATGTCAATGTGCTTGCCACTACTGATGATCTCTCAGTGTCCTGGTGGTAGGTAGTCTAGTCCTGAAAGGTGTACTCCAGCTTGCATGTGGAGAAAGTCACACAACCCCAGTTCACATGAACAAAATAGATGGCCAGTTCTAGGACTCCTGCTTGAGAATCATCATCTCTGAATTTTATGCTGTTTGCTGGCTCCACTGTAAAGAAATAAAGGCATTTGTATGTGGAATCATTAAGTAGATAGGCCATTTTGAATTTTCACTTATCTTCAGCAGTGTGTGAAGGATTCTGTATATTACCTTTTTTTTTTTTTTTTTTTTTTTGACAGAGTGGACAGTGAGAGAGAGAGAGAGACAGAGAGAAAGGTCTTCCTTTTCCATTGGTTCACCCCGCAATGGCCGCTGCGGCTGGTGTGCTGTGGCCAGCGCACCGTGCTAATCCGAAGCCAGGAGCCAGGTGCTTCTCCTGGTCTCCCATGAGGGTGCAGGGCCCAAGGACCTGGGCCATCCTCCACTGCCTTCCTGGGCCACAGCAGAGAGCTGGCCTGGAAGAGGAGCAACTGGGACAGAATCCGGCGCCCTGGCTGGGATTAGAATCCGATGTGCCAGCGCCGCAGGCAGAGGATTAGCCTAGTGAGCCACGGTGCTGGCTGTATATTACCTTTTAAATTCATCTGACTCAGGAACATAAACCTAGAATAAAAGGAGAGAAAACTAAGGTTGTAGAGCTCCTCAAATAGATTTATAATAGAAAGCCCAATTTGCTTTGGTTTCAGTCTATGTAAAAATATTGAAGGGGATAATTTTAAAAACTTTAAAAATTCTGATGTAAACTTCTTCATTTTTATTTGTGTATTATCTATTTTAATATGTGTGCATGATTGTTGAAAAGCTTTGATAAGTAAATGACTAGGTGAACCATTCCAAGTGTGACTTACAGTCATTTGTAAAATTGAATGACTGGAGAACAATTCAGTTCATGTGCAAGTGATCTTAATACATTGTGTACAATGGAAATGGGCTTTACTAGAACTTCAGTAGAGCGAATTCTGCTTCCTCACGCTTGATTGAAAAGTATTAACAAAATTTGTATCCCCAGTAAGTAAAAACTGCCAAAAATTTAAAATATTTATAGGTAGAGAAATTTCTAGATGTGATCATAGAGAGTGTTAGTGATAGAACTTTGTATTCCGGCTCATTTTAGCTGGCAGTCTTGGGTTAGGGTTAGGGCTTTGCAGGTCTTAGTTAACTAATTTTAAGTAAGGGACTATAGCGTTCTCTATGGAGTTCAAGTGTGGTGATTTAAAAAAATATGCTACCATTAAAGATAGGCTTCATGCTCACGCTCCTTTTAAGATTTTATTTTTGCCTTATACTTTTTAACAGTAGTAAAAAGTATGAATTATGATAATACTTTATAGTTAATTTCGTTTATGCTACATGAAATGGGAAGGTGAAAAATTTGCAATCTAAGATATTTTGTTACTGAGACTATCAGTAGTACAACTTTTTCTTTGTCAAATTTATGAATCTGTGTTTCTCTCTTTTATTTCAGGCATTCCTCGTGTTATCCAGTGTAAATTTAGACTTCCCCTGAAGTTAATCTGCCTTCCGGGTCAGCCTTCAAAAACTGCAAGCCACAAACTAACTATTGATACCAACAAAGCTCCAGTCAGTCTTCTCAGTCTCTTCCCAGGTAGGACTTCTGCGGGAACCTCCCTGTAACATCTGGAATGCTAAGAATTTAGAACGGAATCCTTCATCAGCGGGTAATGATAGGGTAATTATCAGATAATTGTTATGTAAGAATATAAAAATGCCTCAAGAATTTTTTCCTTCTTGTTTGCCTCTTCAAAGGCAAATAACTTATATCAACAAAGAACACGCTGTACTTTTAAAGGTTTGATTAAAATTATTATAATCATTATTTTGCTTCAGTGTTCAGAAATAAACATCAAATGTTTCTTTATAGACTGGACTCTTTTGGCTTGGAATGTAAATATTTATTAGCATCTTTATTGTAGGTTTTTGGATATATCCCTTTTCTAAGTATATAAATATTTATTATTCATCTTTAATGTAGTCTTCTGGAGATGTATCTTTTAAAAGTATATTCTCATGCCCCTACAAAGTAATCCCATAAATCTGTGCTCTTTGTGGTTCTGCCATCTATGCAGTTGGAAAGGGTTTGTGTTCAGTTTGTAGCTCAGAGTATGTAGAGCACCACAGTGAACGCCGAGAGTAATTTGTGATGGTCACTTTCTCCAGGTGTCCGTTTTCTTTTGATTGACTTAGAGAATAGAGAGGTTTTGATTGGTCTTTAGTAACCAAAGTTTCCACTGTGTCACATCTATTACGTTTCTTGGTGGCGGGATGGCACTAAAGGAAAAAAAAAATCTCAGATTAAACCAGTCTTTTAAATCATTTGTTAAAAATCAGCACCATTGGCTGTGAGATGTATCCTGACCGTTCCATTAATGGATAGGATTTAGAACACAATGAGTATTGCCCACAAGATTTAGAAAATTGCAGTTGGGATGGCGCTGTGGCACAGCAGGTTAACGCCCTGGCCTGAAGCACTGGCATCCCATATGGGTGCCAGTTCGAGTCCTGGCTGCTCCACTTCCTATCCAGCTCCCTGCTATGGCCTGGGAAAGCAGTAGAAGATGGCCCAAGTCCTTGGGCCCCTGCACCTGCGTGGGAGACCCAGAAGAAGCTCCTTGCTCCTGGCTTCAGATGGGTGCAATTCCTGCTGTTGTGGCCAATTGGGGAGTGAACCAGCGGATGGAAGGCCTCTTTCTCTCTCTGCCTCTCCTCTCTTTGTGTAAAGCGGATGGAAGGCCTCTCTCTCTCTCTGCCTCTCCTCTCTTTGTGTAACTCTGACTTTCAAATAAATAAGTAAATAAATAAATCTTTAACAAAAATAAAATGAAATTTAAAAAAATAAACTTGTGGTAAGTCAAGTTTTGAGTTATTAACTACTTTAAGTTAGAAAACTTATTGTTCATTAATTTGAAATGCTTTATTTAAATGTAACTGTTGAAAACATATGCCAAATCAAATGCCACTTATTACAACTATTCCCTTAAGTTTGAATTGAGTTAAGATACATACATATATAAATCGTTAGGAATTTTTTTAACCTGTTGATTCCTTTCCTTCTGTTTTCTTCCCTTTTCTTCCTTTCTTCTGTAGCCAATTTTCTTGTAACACATTTTGATTATTAAAGGTAGAGAAGATTACTACCTTTGTAATATCTTGCATAAATTTAGCTCTGTGTGTCTCTTATACTGCTCTGTGAAAATAATTGGAATTATGTTGAACACTGAGTTTATTGGTGACTTTGGAAAGTATTTAAGCACTTGACCTCTTAGAAGTTGATCTTCTTTGTAGATGGGTAAAACCTAATTAGAGATTGAATAAAAACATATGTCTTTGACCAGAGAGTCAGTCTGTAAAATATGAATTGGACAGTAAGTAGTAAGGAAAGCATAGATTGTGCGTTCATCTTCCTCCTGCTGTGGAGGTCAATTGTTTTGATGTCACAGATATCTACTGCTTATATGTGTATTTAATCCTGATCTGTAAATGAGGCTCAGTGACAATTTTCACAAGTTCTCCCAAGATACAATATATGTGATATATCATGTTTTTTTTTTTTTAATTCCTGGATTTGTGTTCATATTGAACATACTAGAATCATATAACTGTTTAAAATAAGTTTCATTTCATTCTTATCACATGTATGCCTTTGAAATGTTGACATTTTCATTATAAATCTTCTATGTCTACTTTCAGTTGAAAGAAGTAAATTAAAGAGCTTCACAGAGAAGAAATAAAATAACTTGTAATCTTTGGCTCTTCTATTTGTTTAATCCAGTTCTTTTTTGTGAACAAATATAGCTATATTCAAAATAGCTTTTTCTTATTGTGAAAAAATGTGAAGTTTAGAAAATATGGATAACCAAAAGGAAAAAATTAAAGTTACCAGTAATTCTATCATTCAACAATATCAACTTATATTTTATTACTTTTTTCCTAATCTTTTTAAAAGCATTTTTCTAAGCATTTATATCCCCAAAGACTTTGGGTTTTCATCATTATGTGTTTATTATATTTTAAATGATTATATAGTATTCTATCATAAATGTAGACTATATTATCATCTGACCCGTATTATACCTTTAGATATTTATATTGTTTTTAGTTTACTTATATTATAAACATACCTGTGATGAATAACTTTGTAACAATACTTCTCTACGCTTATTATTTCTTTGATGCATATCTAAAAGTGAAATGACTGTGTTATAGGATAAGAATATTTTTAAGGCTTTCACATTGGAGTACCTGGGTTCAATCCCTAGCTCCAACTCCTGATTCCAGCGACGTGGTAGTGCAGACCCTGGGAGGCAGCCGGTGATGGCTCAAGTAATTAGGTCCCTGTCACCCATGTGGGAGACCTGGATTGGTTCCCAGCTCCTAATTTTGCCTCCCTGTCTGTTGTTTGGAGAGTGGAGCAGTGGATCAGAGCATTGTCTTTTCATCTGTCTGTTCTCAAACACAACAAGAAAACAAAACTAATGTCAAGTTGGCTTTCTAGAGGGCCTTATCAGTTAATCCTGTCAACAGTGTTTGAATGAAGATGTCTAGTATCTAAATCTGTGCCAATGTAGAATATTATAAGTGTAATAGATTTTAATATATTTAATGACTATATTAAAAATATTTATTTGCATGTGAGTGCATTTGAAAACATTCATGGAGAAGGAAATAAAAAAGATCAATTTATTTTGCTGAAAAAATTGAAATCTATGCACATGCAAGACAGCCAGAAAGTTCGTGGAAAGTACATATACAAAAAAAACTATGGGTTTTAAATTTTGGCAGTCAAATAAACTTTTAGTTCTCTTTTCCATGAACTTTTGGAAGTTCATGTGTGTGTACATGCTTGTTCACTGTTCACATTTGTGTGTGTATATATACACATACATCAAACAGCTGTTTGGGGGCTTCTGATTAAAAGTGACTTAAGCAATATAGACATAGTATCTCATATGAAGAGAAGTCCGGACATGGGCGTTATAACCTGTTGTAGTGCTTTGTGACCGTTGTTAAAGACCTCACTTTTGTCTTTGCAATCTGTCTTCTAATTGGTTCCATGGCAATAGGATATTTAGTTCAGCTTTAGGCATCTTTTATAACTACCTGGCAGGAGGTAGGGGAAGAGATAGCTGTAGTAACAGCTAAAGCTTTTATCAGAAAAGCATTTTTCCAAAAACGTCCTAGGAAATTTCTTCTTAGGTCTTGGTAGTGACAATTTTGTCACGTGCCTTCCTCTAGCCATGTGCAGGGCCGAGAACTGATGTGGGAAGGCCAGGGAAAAGGGAGCTGGGATCAATGCTAAATTAGCTGTCAGTGCTTCTGTCATCATCCTGGTATCTTTACACAAAGCTTTTTACGTTAATAATAGATGTGTCATTTGATAGCAGTCTTTTATGTTACCCAGATATGGGACTATCTCTTCTTATCAATCTATTTGTATTTTAATTATTAGATAATATTCCAATGTTTAGGGATATCATGTACTTGCAGTTTTTTATGCGTTTCTGTTTCTCTTAGGAGAAGTGCTTTGAAGACAAATGATTGAATTAACAAATATGCACATTTAAAAACTGTATTCCAATGACAAACTGTCTTCTGGAAAAATTTTTTCAGTTACACTCCTAACATCAGGGTTCATATCCAGGTTAACTGTAGGATTTGTTAGATCTTTTTAAGTTTATGACATTGCTAGGTGAAAATTGACTTCTCATTTTGTATTTTCACCTCTAAATTATTTGTTAGCCGTTGAATTTTTGTTATTTTTATTAACTAGTTATATTTCTTCTGTGAACATATAGTTTATGTATTTTAAGGATTTCTTTCTTTCTTTTTTTTTTTTTTTTTTTGACAGGCAGTGAGAGAGAGACAGAAAGGTCTTCCTTCTGTTGGTTCACCCCCCAAATGGTTGCTCTGGCCGGCGGTGCGCCGATCTGAAGCCAGGAGCCAGGTACTTCCTCCTGGTCTCCCATGCAGGTGCAGGGCCCAAGCACTTGGGCCATCCTCCACTGCCTTCCTGGGCCACAGCAGAGAGCTGGACTGGAAGAGGGGCAACCGGGACAGAATCCGGTGCCGTGACTGGGACTAAAACCTGGGGTGCCGGCGCCACAGGCAGAGGATTAGCCTAGTGAGCCGTGGCGCTGTTCTATTTTAAGGATTTCTATTAAAATATTTATTTACTTACTGAGAGGCAGAGACACAGAGAAAATAAGAGGGAGATAGATGTAGAGAATGCCTGCTAGCCAGTTTACTTCCCAAATGCCTGCAACAGCCAAACTTAGCTGGCTGAGACTGGAGCCAAGAACTCAATTTACGTCCCCCACATTGGTGGCCAGACCCAAGTACTTGAGCCTACACTGTTGCACAGGGTCTGCATTAGTAGGAAGATGGAGTCAGGAGTGGAAGTGGGGTTCTGAACTCAGGTACCATGATGTGGGACATGGATATCTTAAAATCATTTCAAGGGGTCAGTGCCTTGGCTTGGAGGGCTGGGCCTCCCCCTGCATTGCCAGCATCCCATTAGGCACTGGTTCATGTCCAGGCTGCTCCACTTCCAATCCAGCTCTCTGCTATGGCCTTGGAAAGCAGCAGAAG